ATGAGTTTAAAAAGCATACTCAAGTCTTCAGACAAACTGGATATGGCACTGCGGCAAACATGCAGATCTTTCGCGTCGTCCGAAATTTGCCGCAACGAAACCACAAGATGAAATTTATGGCAGTGCGAAGCAAGGAAACTCGTTGATGTCACTAAAATGCCACAACGAAGTCACAACGGGGAAAGTTCCTCGCGAATGAGGAATTTGCAAAGCTTTCAACAGTAAATAATGAACTACAAACATAGTGCTTCACATTAATTCCTTCCCCTTTTCAGATGCCCCGCTCTCAAGAGAGTTGTGAATATTCAAACAAAGGTGCTTCTGGGGCCTCTAGATCATTTTGCAATACACAACGCGAAATATGTAGCTTGTCCCAGTACAAGAAGAGGCGTCGTGAACCTCGCGCATCTCTGAATGTGCGCGAACAATTAAACTTCGAGTACCCTTGTCCAGTATATCTGCTTTTTTTTGCATTTTTTATCTTTTTCTTCAGGGGCGGCGGGGGGTCGTATTTAGCAGAATTCCTTCACATGCGATGGCGCACCCTTGCGTGTGACTGAGAATCCCATCATCTTTTACATTGCTTCATCGCCGTGGTTTCTGATTATCGAAAACTTTTTGTGACCTTTGTTTTTTGTTTTCTGAGACTTTTGCATGATCTTTGGCATACCCCGTATGGTGGTTATTCGGAGATAAGTCTTCCGTGCTTCCTGTCTGCAGCATGAGCTGAGAGTTTTCATAGATAAGGCAGATAGTGTCATAATGTTAATGAGATTCTTGATAACAGTTGAGCAGCAATGGGTGAACGTTTTCTACGGGCAAATCAAGGTCTCTAACATGTCTTTATTCTGTACACAATCTTAGAAAATCAATGCATAGCTGGTTTCTTGCAGACATAAGCTCGCATCTCTTCAGTGCATTGACAGTCGTTCCATTTTTGGTAAGCGTTGTCCTTAGCAGGATCCTTGCCCAGATAGTCGCTGTGGGTCTAAAATAAGCTGGTGTGACCGCAAGGCATACAGCTACTTGATGTAGTCCATTAGAGGTATTAGAGGTTCTGCTTACCTGAGCGCAATGCTCAAGCCCTTTGTCTATTGTTTGGCTCTCCGGGTGCCCATCCTGAAATAATCAGGGGGTAACGGTCGAGTCGCATGACCATGTGGCTGTCGCGACGGATAACTTAGGCATTGACGGCAGCCGATCCACGTCAGGTCCGGAGTCTTTCTTAGTATTCTGTACGGACTTGGAGAGATCTGAAATCCCCCAAGTTTATGAATTGGCCATGATCCTAGTAGATTTCAATCATACCAGCAACAAAAATATTTTCTGCGCTGCTGTGAATCGAGGTCAGATGACCACCATTGGAAACGCACACCTGTTCGGCGTTGTCAAACGTCGCCCATAGGAAATACTGAAAGGTTTTGCTCAGTGTAATTGTGTGAAAAATTGCTCGTACTAGGCAATGTCGTCGTAGGAGGTTTCAGTGCCAACGACCCGCACCGCCGGAATAGTCCTGCCGTTTAGGGAGAAAGTTTGCAAAATACGAACTCCCCTCAGAACTTCCTCATGTTATGCGATTCCTTCCCCACTCCTGCACACCATCTCGTCGAATCCTCCTAACCCTCCCGCTCCTACCGAGTTTTACCCCGCATTCCGAGAAAGTCAATAATGGGAAACGTTTTCCACAAGCGCGTAAGACCCCTCCCCTCTCCTTCTACAACCAAGTACTTCCCCTCGCTGGAATCCCCTTACGTCCTAGTTGTGAACACTACTCAGAAAGGAATCTTTCCAATGCACAGCGAACAGCAAACGCCGCGACTATGGCTATTTGTTTTCAAATATCTAGGACCAACCCTATAGCAGGAATCTGTGTTGTTGAAAAAGCTCCAACCATTTTGACAGTGTCCTGGTTGCCCTAAAAGTTTCTTATTTTGTAAAGATCAGGCATAAAAAAACGTGGGTAATCACGAACTTGGGGCGGATGGGCATGTAGGTAGGGAGGGACATGCTGGACAGGTTGGAGCTGGAATGTCTGAGGTGAAGGCGCAGACGTAGGGGTAGGTGGTAGCACAGTTGACAGAAGTCCAAGTACCGTCAATCGCCTCGACGGCGCATTGAGAAGACGCGTCAGGCTGACCTGGAAATGACATCGTTAGAAATGAAGGTAACCCTCTGTAGTGTTGTGGTGCACGTATGGGACTTCTGCGAGCTAATCTGGTATTGTTTGTCTTTACGAAGCGATTCTCGAAATTTGGGCCAGCTTTTCATTGAGTGTGCAGAGAGCTACAGATTTGTTCTCGAGAGTGCTGCATACCCCCACCCCCATCCCCAAACCACAACACTGCAGACTTTCTTGAGTGAAAACTTCGCTAGCTCATGTTCATTATTGAGTTGTCAGCTCAACCCGTGGACCAAACCGAAAGAGTGGGGTGCACTGGGGTGAGCAGTGCTAAGATTTGCCTTCGAAAGAAGAGTGTCAAACAGGGCACGCTGTCACCAGTAAATTCGAACTTCACTGTTGAGGATCTCGAGTAAAGCCTGGTTGGATATTCGTGTACTCATTTCTCAGCAAAGTGTGTCAGTTAGTTTGGAAGTGCGCTCATTCTAAATAGGAGAAAAGCGTATAGGGGAGAACTGGTTTCCTGAAAATTGATACAAGAAGAAGTTGGGAAAGCACAGGATTGAGACGCGGATCAAGAGATTAGAGTTGACGGGTGCAGTGGTGCAACGAGTTGCGTGCACCCCTGAATGTCACGTCGGAATGAGGCTGATTTCCAGAGTTTGTGGAGAATATAGGATCGTGAGCGCTGGACAAAATCTTATTCCGTACCGTCGTCATTCTGAGTTGTGTTGTGGTAAGTGCCCGCTTACCGTCACCGTGGGAGTTATTCCCCAGATCGCTCCCGTCCTGGCCAACCAAGACCTTCTACACTCCGGTGCCGGTGAAGCGCTGCTAGATTTGTCTGGGCAGGATGAGAATACGGGCTTGTAAATTGGTCATCCGCGCAAGGCAGTATATAGGTCACATCGGATTCAATAAGCTTCATGGGACTAGAATGCGTGTCGCATTCCAAAAAGGAATTGATCAATGGCCGGAAGCTCGTCCTTCTTTACTTTTAGCCTTCAAACGTTAAATTGTAACATTTACAATTATGACGTGATGTTTTCTCCCATGTCCACGCGCTTATTTGTAGAAAGCAGCGTATTATAGTGACCTACCTGCTACCTGCTCCCCAGTTTGTGAACGAAGTGGCGTTGTAGCCATCAATCCACGACCAAGTTATTAGTCAGCATGCGATTGTATCCAATATAGAACGGGCCACGGATGTTTTGTGACGAGGCAGTTTCTTGAAAAAATATTAGAAAATTAGTAGCAGACATCGAAAATGTTCTGCTATAGAAAACTAACGAACCAGCCAACATTGCGTTCTCGAAGCCGTTCTCCACGGAAACCAGATGGCCACCGATCGCCTGGCATGACTCTTCAGCTAAGTAGAACGGTTGACGATCGTTCACAAACTTATAGCAATTTACCGATCAAGAAGAGTTTTTTTCCACCCAACAGTTTCTTTTGTTGAAGAATATTGAGAGAAGCAGAGATGCGCCACTTCAAGGGGTTCTGCTTGCCATTGGGCGTTCAAGCATGCTACCGTACTTCCCAATTCCTGTATAGGTCGGTATCCTACATAGAAATCTATTGTCCATAGCATTCAACAGGCGCAAAGTCTTCTAACCGCCCCCCCCCACCAACTGAACGAAAAGTAATCAATTTTATCAAGCGATAACGGCGAATACGGTGACATTGTGAGATTTTCAGCCTATTAAACTTGAATAACAATATTTGTAGTGCGTAAATAAAGGTCGGTGTTAGCTGAAAGAAGACTACTAACTACGTGGAGTATTTTACTAGATAATATTTGTGATACACGGTCTTTAATGGATAAATAAATCTACGCAATGGCTAAAGTGTTAAAATTAAGACTAAGCGGCGTCTTAAATTTTCGAATACATGATTTATAGAGGCATACGCTTTTTGTGATAGCAAAATCGAAAGTTCTAGGGGTGATGGACTGTACTCCTGAGAGATAAGCCTATTTTGCTTTTAATTGTTGAGAACTTTTAATCGAACAATTGTATGTGGCGAGTTAGGCCAAAACTATTTGATCTACTGCATATCCGAATACCTTCCAATCCGTATGCTGAAACGATCCAGCGGACAATCAGCAGAAACCGTAGAAGAGAGTGTGGCGACCAACAGCAACGGCAGCATCATCACGGCCACTCACTAGACCTTATCAGCGCGAAGCAATATCACAGAAAATCATGTTGCCATCGATACTAGGGACCATTCTCTACTGATATTTCGTGAAAACCGTATTAAGTTTTGACGGACGGTAATTATGTTCATAAAAGAGGAATACAAGCCTGCATAAGCAGGCGACGTGTGCCGTTTATGCAGCAAAGTGTGCGCTCAAAGCGTCTCAACAGAGCGCAACTGTCTCCACCATAAGTGGTCGTCTCAGTCGGTGATGTCTACCAGGTTGCGCTTAGCGCGTGGCATGAGAAAGAGCGTGGCACTGAAGTTTCTTAATAATGAGCAGTGTCAGGAGCAAGCTAGTTCGTCCATTGTTTGAAGTCGAAGATGTGTTACGCTGATGATGTGCAGACGCCGTCTTGAACAAACCAGTCCTATCCACAAGCCCAAAGGATGTACTCAGCGGCTCAGGAATACGCGTCCTCCTGCTATCCTACACCACTTTTAATATTCATTTTTAAAGGCTTTGCGGAGATGCGTTGAGCCTGTTCCCAACTCCATCCATTTGATAGGATGTGAGCGAGGGTAGCACAGGAACATTTGAGCCACAGTACTCGCCATCCTTGATGGCCGGACGTGCCGCGAAAAGAATAACAAACGACCTTGCTTGCTGATTTTTCGCCGCTCTGTTTCGTTTTTCTTGTTTCTCGCTCTATTCAGCACCCATATGTATTAGGTTGGCGGGAAAGTTCTGTCACTTTTTTCAAATTGGGCTTTCTTTTTAGAGAGGCGTGTAAGATCAAAATTGTACAGCAATGTTACTGCGGGGTCCTTGCCTGTTTTTGAGCACCTCATGGATGCCATCGCTTCACAATGCAGGGAGGCGCGATACAAAGTTGGACATCATCTCAATCTTGGCTTGAACTCAGACTTTTCGAGGTTTTCTCGTAATTTCTCGTCCAGTAATGATTGATTACGGGAGGCAACTCGCAGTTAGAAGGAGCAATGTCTAGACCA